AGGGATGTGCTAAGGGCACCAGAGGCTGCCAGGAACCTCCTCAGAGCACACGCAGCACACAGGGACAAAGTCCCTGAGGATGGGGGTCTACCCTCCTACAGCCTCTGTCCCCTACTCTGCATGGTTTGGGGCCACTCAGGGTCAAGCAGGCCAGATTCCAATGCTGAGTTTCAGTTTTGCAGCTCAGTTTTTCCATCCCAAAAGTTATTAATAACACATTGCTGTAAAAACTGTTAATAAAGTATTTAAGGTTAAATATACTAATGAAACATTAATATTAAACTATCGATAAAACGGTAATATCAGAGGAGCCCCTGAAACTTCAGAGGGCCTGGGGCCAATTAAGCATGAAGTGGGGACAAGACACAGGCTGGGCAGCCTGCGTGGCTGTGTGGCCCCAGCCACTGAACATCTTTGTGCCTCAGTTTCCCCAGCCCCAAAATGAACATAATATTCCTCACTTTTGACGGCTGCTCTGAAAATGAAGTGACTTTTACATGCACAGCCCTTGGCTCAAAGCCAGACAAGCAGGAAGTGCTGTTTGTATTGATGCATTTAGTCTTAACCTTCCCTTTCATGTCTGTGACTTCAGGGGAGGGACTGAATCCTTCTGTGCCTCAGTTTCTCCTTGGGGACACAGGACTATTACCAGCCCCTCCCATGGGGCTGGGGTGGTGCCAAGGCTACTCAGAGGGACCCTGGCCCCAGCGTCTCCACCGGACCAATCCTGGCAGCCTCTGTCCCCTGGGGACCGGCTATAATTAGGTGCAGCCACAGCAGCTACAGATGGTATTTTTGTCTTGGGGACAGTGAGTCTGGTTCCCACCAGGTGTCTGGTTGTAGGGCCTTGGGGGCAGGAGGAGGTTCCCAACCAGACCCTTGAGACTCCTTGTCCTCCAGTCCCCAGCATGACCCCTCTCCAAACCTCCATTTTTCTCATCTGCACGGTGCAGACAATAGTGTGGTCAGGAGAAGGCCTGGGTCTTCTCACTGTGGTGCCCCAGCCCCCCCCCCCACTGAAGCCCTGACAGCCCCAAGCTGTATCTCACATTTCCCCAGGGGTGCCCCACAACCAGCACCGTATCCCCAGGGGCAAGGCCCAGGCACTGGGGGAGTGTCATCCCATGGCAGGGGCACAACTGGGCTCAGAGTTTCTAGGAGGCCTCTGCTGAGAGGCCCAGCCTCCCCGGACCTCAGTGGCCTCTGTCTGTGATGTGGGCACTCGGAGTCCTGCTGAGTGTGACCTGCTCTGACACTTGGTTTCCTGTCCTGAAGTCCGGGGCAGAGCTACCAACCCCAGTATTCTGAGGGTAGAACGCCTGGTATAGAGCCCTGAACTCCCCCAGACACTGAAGGTGGCGGCTCCCTTTCCAGGCCCCTGGGGTCCTTCCTGGAGCAGGGGTTGGGGGACGGGGGGGAGGCCGTTGATGTTTCACAGAACAGAAGATCTGGCTGGAATGGAGTGCGGATGTTTGTCCAGTGGAGACAGCAAGAGAGCGGAAAGGATCCAGAGACAGGGCCTGGGATGTGTCAGAGCAGGTGGGGGTCATGTGGGGACTTGTGGGGGAGGGCTGGGAGAGAAGCTGGTTTTGAGCCCCCCTGCCCTGACAGAAAACTTTATGTTTGTTACCACTTCTCTCTATGCCTCAGTTTCCTCACCTGGCAAAGGAGTAAGGGTTTGTTGATTCTGGGCAGCCCCTTGGTGGTTCCAGGCCTCAGCTTCTCCACCTGGAAAATGGGCAGAGTGGGAGTGGAGGCACTGTGTGGGATCGGGGCAGCCCCTCGGCAAACTCGTGCCTCCAGTGCTCTGCCCATAACGGAGGGTGCTTCCTTTTCTGACTTCTGCAGCTCGCTCTTTTCAGCCAACTCAGGCCGGAGAGCTGCACTAATCTGAGACATGTTGGCAGAGGAAAGTGGCACAAGATCTGGGTTCTGGGCCCCACGGGACCACCCCCATAGAGGGAGAGCAGAGAGTGGCACCCAGCTCCATGCCTCAGTTTCCTCGTTTGTCCCGGTAGGGGCCTCCCCGAATGGTCCAGTGGTGGGGCGGGGCAGTGCTCCTTCTGCCCCCTCTCCGCCGGCCCCGCCCCCGCAGCTGTCCAGAAAAGGTTCCACCGCCGGGATCCGTCCTGCCTCCAAGCTGTCGCGGAGATGCAGGGTGCCCCGGCGCCTGCCCCGGCTTCTGGGCCCGGCTCTCCCCGGGACTCCCCACGCGGCTCCCCAGGGCTCTTCAGGAAGCTCCTGGTGAACCAGAGCATCCGCCTGCAGCGGCGCTTCACCGTGGCCCATCCGCTGTGGTGAGGCGAGAGGAGGGTGAAGGGGTCACCGGAACCACCAGGCCGGAGGTGGGAAGGACACAGTTATGGACAGCTGGGGCCGGATTAGGGGTCAGGGCACGCACACGCTGCCCCTCCCGCCCCTTCTCGTATCTGTCTCCCCCTGTCCTGTCTGTGTCCCTCCACCTGCTGCTTGGACGCAAGCCGGGGATGAGGCTGGCGGGGGTGTGGGGACCAGCCGGCTGTCCCTCTCCAGCTGTGCGGCCCAGAGCAGGGTGGGCTCAGGCTCACGGTCCCTCCTGACCCTCCCACCTGGGCAAGCGGCCTGTCTCAAGGGTGAGAAGAGAAAAGAGGGTCACTCCTCCCCTTGGTCTGCTACCCTTCATCCCTCCCGGTGCCGGCGTCGAGAGGGTCTGGGGGCTTCACATGAAACCCTCAGCGTCCCTGGAGGAAGATCTGATTTTATGGGGCCCTTCGAGGCAGGGCACCCGTAGCAAGCGAGGAGCTGCCGCCCCAGGCTGAGCGAACCCGCGCAGGGCGGCTCGGCGGTGTCCTCCGAGGGCTGGTGGTGACCTCTCTGGGTTCGAATCCTGGGTTCGAATCCTTCAGGACGCGACTGTGAATTCGTCGCGTGTGGGGGCAAGGCTAGGGTCGGAAACCTGGCCTGTGGGCGCGACTGTGTCTGGTACCTGGTGCCCGGTTTGGGCTGCACTCACACTCCCTTGATAATTTGGCACTTGGCGGCTCAGACTGGAGGTCCCTTCTCCAAAGTCACATGGCCAGTGACAGCTGGCAGGGGTGAGTGCCGCCGTGGCCACGGTCCCTGATGGCGTCATTGAGACCCGGCAGGGGGTCCCAGCTTCCCGAGAGCGTCCCCAGGGCGCCCACCAGACGCCTGCTAAGGAACTCCGGAGGGTCGTCCCCGGCGCCCTCGGGTCCCAGAAGGCGAGGCTGGAGGACCGCGGGTCCCTGCGAAGCCCCTGCCTCGGTTTACCTGTCTGGCCATGGAAGACGCGCGGTTCCCACAGTCGGGACGACCCAGCCGCGGGCGCCCCCGTCCTGGAACCACACCCCGGCCCCGCCGCTCCCAGCTAAATTTAGAGCAGAAAGAAAAACAGCTTCCCCAGCTGCGGCCGGCCCTTAACCCTGCGCGCCGGCTCCCTGAATTCGAACCCGGAGCCCTGTTGGCCTCTCCTAGCTTCAGTTTTCCTAGTTTTCCGTGGGTGCGCTTTCCCAGAACCTTTGCGGAGATGCGAGGAGGGGAGGGTTCGCCACCCCCAGGCCTCCCCCTTGGAGGGCGCGTTAGTTTACCAGCCGCCAGTGGCCCTGAGAGCGTCTCCCGCCCGCCCCCGCTCCCTTTGCTAAGCAGGTTAGGGTTAAGAAGCCCCAGCCATCTCCGCGACGTCGCGGGGAAGGGGCTCGAACACACGCGTGGGAACCGCTTCTGTAGGCGCGGCGGAAGCCGAACCAGCGGCGAGGCGGGACAAGGCCAAGCCCGCCCGAATTCACCCGAGTGAGGCCGGGCAGAGCCGAATGGCCCGAAAGTGTCCGAACCTTCCCGAGCGCGCTCGGACGTAGCCAAGTCAGAAAGAACTCCCTCCACCGAACTCGGCTGGATCCGGCCCAGTAGAACTTAGCCAAACCTGGCCCTGCTTGACCGATGCGGCCCGAAACCAGCTGAAACGGACAGAATCCTGCCGAATTCCGGATGTGTGACTTGGCGGGGGATCAGGTGGACACTGGCCCTTGGCCAGAAGCCCCAAGTCGTGGGCGGTGTTTCCCTGTCTCCTGCCAGCCTGCTCTCAAAGCCTGTGATCCACAGGCAGCCCCTCTCCCCGGCTGCTAACTCTCCCGCCAGAACCTCTGTTCTGACCCACGCCCCCTCCCACTCTTTCTCTGACCCCTGACCCCAAGGGGATGAGCACGAATTCCCCGTTACCCAGAGGGTGGCAGGAAGGAAGAACAGGGCTGAGAGCACTGGGAGGGAGGACTCGGAGATTGCTCAAGCAGGAGGTGTTACGGGGAAAGCACAGCCCGTGCAGAAGCCCGAAGGTGGAAGAGAATGGGCAGAACCTTCGGGCGAAAATGAAGCAGGAGAGTAGAGGACCTGGGGGCGTGGTCGACGAGACTGGGGCTGGGCCTAGAGGGATTGAGGCTGACCGGGGTGGGGGTGGGGCAGGTGAGCCAGGGCATGGCCAAAGCTGACTGGGTGCTGGGCCTCTCCCGGCTCTGGGGTACCTCGGAAATGGCAGGATCTAGGCAGGAACCCAAGACCCTCGAGAAAAGAGAGCCCAGAAAATCTTTTCCAGTAACCGTGCGACCCGGACCTCAGCTTCCTCCTTAGTAATGCGGACGCCCAGGTGTCCTCAGGTGCTCCGCCATAGCTCCCTAAAAGCGCCCTGGGGGAGACTCTGCCAGCCTGTATTAGAGACAGGGTGGTCAAAGTCCAGAGAAAGGTTGAGACCTACCCATGATCACACAGACATTTGGGAACAGATCTGAAACTCACGTCCTGGAGTCCAGATTGGCTCTAGCAGGAAGGCTGTAGGTACAGACGTGGAGACCAAGGCAGGAGGGGTGCTGGGTACCTGAGTAGGTGTGATTGTGAGTCAGGTGAACAAACTGTAGGCTACTCCTTCATGGCCCACCGTGGCCCACTGGTGTCTGGTCCAGTGATGACGTGAAAAGACAGGTCTGCTCTGACCATGCCTCCTCTACTTCTAGCTTTGACCTGGAAAATGCTCTCTCATGTGGGAGAAGTGCCCTGGACCCCCAGGTTGGGCCTGGTCTTGGCCAGGGCATCCAGACCTCTGCCCAGCACAGCCAACGGCGCGAGTCCTTCCTGTACCGGTCCGACAGCGACTATGAACTCTCGCCTAAGGCCATGTCCCGGAACTCCTCTGTGGCCAGCGACCTGTGAGTCTGAGGCTGGTGGGATGACACCTCCTCCTCTCTTCCTCCTTCTTTTATTCCTCCATTCAGCACACCTCCTTGAAGGGGCCATTCGAATGGGGCTATGAAGTTTAAGTAGGAGTTTGCCAAGCAGCCACTTATTCAGTTGAGCTTGCCCAGAATGATATCCAATGATCTGTGTTTGACTTTAGGGTGGGGTTGGGTGGGAATCCAGAAACATTAAGGACAATTAGTAGCAACTGAAAAAATGCATTGATTCAAACTTCCTGGTAGCCATAATAAAAAGGAAAATAAAATAATATCATCATGCCTCTAAGACCCCTGCTGCCCCTGGGACTCAGTTTCCCCATGTGTAAGGTGGGGATAAAGTGAGTGAATGGTCGGAGAGGCCGTGGTGGGTTTCAAGGAAGAGTCAGGTAAGGGGAGCCCGGGCACCAATAGGGCACGGGAAGGAGGAGTCAAAGGAAATGCATGCTTACCTGAGGGCGCAGTGCGGACAAAAGCTGGAAGATGGGGACACGCAGGAGATCCCCCTAACTGCCCTTTCTGATGTCCCGTCTCCCCACAGACACGGAGAAGACATGATTGTGACACCCTTTGCCCAGGTGAGTGTCCATTTCTCCCCTCTCCCTGCAGGAACCAAGCAGGCTAAGTCGACCCCTCCATTTCCGAGGCTGACTGTCCCCCTCCCGACAGGTCCTGGCCAGTCTTCGGACAGTTCGGAGAAATGTCGCAGCGATAGCCCACCTGCAAGGCCTCAGGGCAGCCAAGTACACGGGGAGAGGGGTGGAGCCGGGCCTGGCAGAGAGGATGACAGGGCAGGGCTGGGAGGAGGGGATGGGGCCAGGGTCTGGCAGATAGGGTGGGTTGGGTGGGGTCAGGGTCACAGGGGTGAGGCAAGCCACCCCTGAGCAAACTGTACTGCAGGCAGGCATCGGTCGGGAACCCCCCATCTGGCAGTCAGCCCCCTCCACTGACAGGTAATGTGCCTGCTCCTACCCTTCCTCCCACTGTGGGGCCACTGTCAATTTCTTCTCCTTGGTCACCTCCCCAGTCCATGAGTCTTTTAGGCCATTTTCATTTTAACTGTCAAAACACCCTCAGGGATGGAGTCTACCACACCCATATTACAGATGGGGAGGCTGAGGCCCAGAGAGGGGCAGGGGCCTGCCCATAGTCATACAGCCACTTGGGGATATACGTGCAACTCAAATCCTGGGGTCCCGAGTGGCCCCATTGGGAAGGGCTCTAGGGTCCAGACGTAGAGATGGAGGCATAAAGGGTGTGGGGTCCTCGAGTGGGGGTGGAGCAGGTCCCTGACAGCTCAGCCCCCAGAGGACACCGGGCAGAAGCTGGCTTTGGAGACATTGGACGAGCTGGACTGGTGTCTGGACCAGCTGGAGACCCTGCAGACCCGACACTCGGTGGGGGAGATGGCCTCCACCAAGGTAAGGCAGCCGGAGGGCTGAGTTTGCTTGCCCCTGCCCACAGTGCCCCTCACCACTGTCCCCAACTTCCCCTGCAGTTCAAGCGGATGCTGAATCGGGAGTTGACGCACCTGTCTGAAACCAGCCGATCTGGGACCCAGGTGTCAGAGTACATCTCCCGGACCTTCCTGGGTGAGCTGTGGGGCTTGTCCCTGCCTGGGCAACACACAGAGGTAGGAAGAAGGAAGAAGAGAAAGACTGCCATTACAGACAGTCTGTGGAAGGCAGAGCCAGCCACGGACACCCTGAGCCGCATGGGTGAAGACGGCCAGGAGGACGGGGACATTCAAGCTATGGATTGAACCAGGAAGGAAACAGAGGAGACCAGACAGCTGGGTCTCCAGCTTGGGAGACAGAAAGGACATTGGGCTGTTTGGGGAAAAGCATTGCACCCCAGGCTCTCAAGGGCCATGTCCATCAAAGGTCACTGAGGCAGCCATGAAAACAGGGGTGGCTCTAGGCCATATAGGGACTTTGCTCTGAGCTCACTTTGATCCAGGTAAAGGTTAGGTAGGACAACCCTAGCAGGTGAATTAGCTTCTCTCTCTGAGTCCCACCCTGCCCTCCCTCCAGACCAGCAGACTGAGGTGGAGTTACCCAGGGGGACCCTCACGGAGCCCCCGAGGCCAATGTCCCAGATCAGCGGCCTGCATGAGCTCCCCCACAATGCCAGCCTCTCCACAGCCACCATCCCACGCTTGGGGGTCCAGACTGACCAGGAGGGGCAACTGGCCAAGGTGGGTTCCCAATCAGAAGGCCGAGGCCCAGGCTAGAGTCCCAGCTCTGTTTGGATGCCTCATCTTGAGCTTTGGTTTGCCCATTTGGATACTGGGCTAGTGGGGCTAAATATAAGATCCGGGGCCTGGGGGAGGGTGTCGTAGGGCTAGAGTTTGGGGAAGGTGGGCTGGGGTCAAGCTCCAGTTCTTCACATTTTAGGAACTGGAAGACACCGATAAGTGGGGGCTTGATGTGTTCAAGGTGGCAGAGCTGAGCGGGAACCGGCCCCTCACAGCCATCATATTCAGCATCTTTCAGGTACCTCCCATGCCCTTGGCTTCTAGTACCCCTGGGTTTCTCTCACCTCTCTCTACTTCAAGACCTCAGGGGACAGACTCCTCCCTAGCACCCCTAAGTGAGATATTTGAACAGGACATTGATGGATGAATAGGAGTTCACTAGGTTGAATAGTTCATTGCTGATTATCAACAAGCCTCAGCCCTGAGCCCAGGCCTGAAGAGACCCAGTCTGGAGGGAACTGCTGTGGGGGTCAGGGATAGACCAGAGAGGAAGGACAGAGACCAAGTGAGTTCAAAATTGAGGACATCCTGGAAGATGGAGCATTTGAGAGACGGAGAGAAGTCCAGTAGGAGAGAACAGAGTGTAGGAGCAGAGTGTTCTGCTGCCTGGAGGGTAAAGTCCTAACTGGGGGCCTGTGATGAACCAGAAACGTGACCTGCTCAAGACATTCCAGATCCCAGTGGACACGCTTGTCACCTACCTGCTGACGCTGGAGGGTCACTACCATGCTGATGTGGCCTACCACAACAGCCTGCATGCCGCCGATGTGGCCCAGTCCACACATGTGATGCTGGCCATGCCTGCACTTGAGGTACGGCCCTACGAGCAGGCTGGGTGGGCGCAGGGTGCAGAGAGCGCGCCCCTCACCTCTTATGCCCATGTCTGCTCAGGCCGTGTTCACAGACCTGGAAGTCCTGGCTGCCATCTTTGCAAGCACCATCCATGATGTGGACCATCCTGGAGTCTCCAACCAGTTTCTCATTAACACCAGTGAGTCAGGAGTCTTGCTTCCACTTGTCAGTCATACAGTCTCTGGTGGTCCCATCCCTGCTTTGAACTTGGTGTCCCTGTTTGTGAAATGGCTGTGGCAATCTTCTTTCCCTTAGGTACTCAGAGCGAGTTCAGGTGCATCGTAGACACTCAATAAATGGGGGAATAACAAATGTGGCAGAGCTGATCTGGGCCCACTGTGATTTTAAAGTTTGGGGTCCTTTAAGGTATCTGAAAAACTCAGTCAATGAACAGTTACGGGTACCTCTTGCGTACATCCCTGAAGAACTGAGGATGAGAGCAGAGCGCTTTCACTGGAGGATCCCAGAGTCTAACTACACAAAGACTCTGTTGCTCATTCAGCCAACACTTGGCACACACCGTCTCCTGCCACACCAAGTCCTTACGGAGACTCCAGTCTCGAGGAGGCAGAGCAGAACACAGATGTCCCCAACCCTGTGGAGTCAGAGCATGGCCAGAGGGAGAGACAGGGTCGTAGAAGGCTGCCTGGAGGAGGGGGCATTAGAGTTGAAGCTTCAATGCATGAGTAGGAGTTTGCCAACAGTTCATCAAACCTGCCTTTTGGTGAGGCGGGGTGGTTGGCGGATCTTGAGGCTCTCTGCTTTCCGCACAGACTCGGAGCTTGCGCTTATGTACAATGACACCTCTGTGCTGGAAAACCACCACCTGGCCGTGGGCTTCAAGCTGCTGCAGGCAGAGAACTGCAACATCTTCCAGAACCTCAGCACCAAGCAGTGGCTGAGTCTGCGCAGAATGGTCATCGACATGGTGAGGCTACAGCAATGGATGGGGTGGGGTGATCTTGGCTGGGTTGGGGGTTCAGTTGAACCTGGGCCTATCTCTGCTCTAAACCTGAGCTTCCTGGTCTATAAAATGGATAGGATGGGATGAGCAGGGCCTCGGTCCTGGCCATGGTTCACACGTGAGTGATGTGGAAACTGAGCTTTTGGGGTTTCTGGTGCAACTTTTTCTGAGCCTTTAGTTTGCCATTTGATATTTTCTAGATTGGGAAGCACCAGTAAGTGTTGGGATCTTATGCCTCATTCATTCATTTTTCCAAACATTTATTGAGCACCTATTGTGTGCTTGCACTGTACAATGACCAAGGCAGTTCTGGCCTTTTGGGGATTCCAGTTTGTGGGGAGATGGGCACGTGGGTGGAAACCATAGCACGGGGATCCCTGAGCAGAGCTGTGAGGGGGGGATGCTCAAGGTCAGGGAGGGCTTCCCCAGGACGGAACACTGAAGCTGGGGCCTGCCGAGTGGGGAGGGTGGGCTGGGAGGAGCGTCCCCAGCAGAGGGAGTTGCATGTGGGGAGGGCTCAGAGGAAACCAAGTCTCCCAGTAATGAGAAATTCAAAGTTCAGTGAGACAGAGTGGAGGCCCTGGGTAGTGGGCATCATTTGGGGGCAGACTGCAGGTTTGGGAAGAAGTTTTGAGACTTTTGTCTGATCCTCAGAGAAGCCTGGTGCAGGTTACTCCTGGGCTGGAGTCACATGAGTCCAGCAAACTTGATTTTTAAACAGCTGTGTTTGGGACTGAACTGCCTTCCAAACTGCTGAAAACAGCCCTCCCAGGCACACAGTGGTCACAGGGAGATTTGGGGAGCATCAAGTCACGTCACCTCTGGCTTCAAGTTAACCTGTGGCTTCCATGGCCCTCTGGATAAGTCCCCCAGTCCTCACTGCAGGTCCTCTCTGCTCCTGCCAACCGCATTTGCTCTGGCCATAACTGCTTCCTCTATGTTCCTCAGCTCATCCAGCCCCAGGGCCTTTGCACAGGCCATGTCCTGGGCTGGTCCTCACTGCTAACCTTAAGTACTTCTCACCTCAACCTCTATATTTAATCTTTTTAAAAATATATTTTATTTATTTATTTTTAGAGAGAGGAGAAGGGAGAGAGAGTGAGAGGGAAATAAACATCAATGTGTGGTTGCCTCTCGCACACCCCTCACCAGGGACCTGGCCTGCAACCCAGGCATGTGCCCTGACTGGGAATCAAACTGGCAACTCTTTGGTTTTCAGGCTGGCACTCAATCCACTGAGCCATACTAGCGAGGGCCTATATTTAATCTCTAACATGTGGGATGCGCCCCATGAGCCCAATGAGCTCAGAGATGGGACCGTTGATTCGTCTTCTCTTGTGGGCTGGGTGTGCAGCCAATGCCATTATGTCCCCCCATTTTACAGATGCAGACACCAAAGCTCGGAGGGCTGAGCATCCGAGGGGATATGATGTCTGGGAGTAAGGGGTGGGGAGGGGGCAATGTTCATACCGGCCGTTCTCCCCTCGCCGGCCCCCAGGTGCTGGCCACTGACATGTCCAAACACATGAACCTCCTGGCTGACCTCAAGACCATGGTGGAGACCAAGAAGGTGACCAGCCTGGGTGTCCTGCTGCTGGACAACTATTCTGACCGTATCCAGGTGTGTAGCTAGGCAGACCTCGGGGCTTTGGCTTCCATGCCTCTCATTTAGCTTGCATTTTTAAGTGTTGACTGTGCACCAAGCTTGAAAAAACAGAGGCACTGAGACTCACGTGACCATGCCTTAGCTGCTCCTTTCCCTCCCGGGCCTCAGTTTCCCCACCTGTAAGAAGGACGAGTCCACAGCAGTAGGGATTAACTGGGCCTGGGGGTGGCCTGGCCCGAGCCCTCCCAAGCCTCGATCTCCCCAGGTCTTGCAGAACCTGGTGCACTGTGCAGACCTCAGCAACCCCACCAAGCCACTGCCCCTGTACCGCCAGTGGACGGACCGCATCATGGCTGAGTTCTTCCAGCAGGGCGACCGTGAGCGAGAGGCGGGCCTAGACATCAGCCCCATGTGTGACAAACACACTGCCTCAGTGGAGAAGTCTCAGGTCTGAGGGCAACTGGGTTAAGATGGAGGACACGTGGTATGGGGGAGGGAAAGGAGTGGCTGAGCCCACCCCAGGAGTTCTGGCTTGACCCCAGACTAGTCAATGAGGGAGTGTGGCCCAAGGCCATGGTCTGCCCTGGGCTGCATGGGGTCAGCCTGGGGCACCTTCTCTCTGGGTTGCAGGGAGAGGGATTTGCAGGCATGGGATTGGAAAATGTCTGTTCTGAGTGGCGTAGGCTTAGGGGACCTGGAGGGGCTCTTAGTCTGAGGGCCCTGACGGGTCAGGGCTGGGGTGGAAGGAAAGACTTAGGGGTTGGGGCAGCCCAGAGGGGCAAGGGGGGCTTCCTACAGGAGAGGTTGTTTGAAGAGGGTTTTGAAGAATGAGTAGGAGTTGGAAAATGACATTCCAGGGAGAAAGAACAACCTAGGCAAAGGCCTGGAGGCTGGACTGGGTCTAGGTTCCATGGCAACTCACAGCACGCTGCCTCTCCCCCACAACCCTGTCTCGTCCTACAGGTGGGTTTTATTGACTACATTGCCCACCCACTGTGGGAGACATGGGCTGACCTGGTACATCCCGATGCACAAGACCTTCTGGACACACTGGAGGACAACCGCGAGTGGTACCAGAGCAAGATCCCCCGTAGCCCCGTGGATGCCACCATCCCTGAGCAGGGCGGCCATGATAGATTCCAGTTTGAGCTAACTCTGGAGGAGGCAGAAGAGGAGGAGGAAGAGGAGGAAGAGGAGGGGGAGAGCATGCTGGCTCAGGAGGCCTCAGAGTTACCTGACACTGAGCTCCTGTCTCCTGAGGCCAGCACAGACCCTGAGGCCTTGTGCCTAGACAACCAGAGGACCGTGGGCAAGCCCTGTGTGGACCATGAGGGCAATGTGGCATCTGAGTCCTTTGGAACCTAGTGGTCCCTAATGAGTGGGTCGACTTTCCAGGAGGAGGTCCCAGGCCTGGCCTTCTTTACATATTCGGAGAGACAACCAAGCTTTTAGTTATAGGCAAGTTTCAGGGTCATATCAAAGGCATCTGGCTTGGGTCCACCCTGATCTCCCACTCTGTAAAGAGAGCTGTCCTTCAGAGTCAGCTCTGAAACTGGGGCTGGGTCAGGCTCAACTTCTCCAACGGTCACTCTTCAGCCACATCCAGAGCTTATTCTTTCACTCTTTATCAGATATGGACTGGGCACCTATTGTGTGCCAGGCTTATGCCCATTATGTGCCTCTGGGGTAGCCCTGAGCAAGGGGGTGAGAAGTCAGCTCCAAGGAGAGGCCTTCCACTGGCACCTCCCTTTCATCTTCTGGGAAGCTCCCTGCAGATCAGGACCTTGAATGGGGAAATGCGTGGCACCAACACTTTGCCCAGTCTCAACTCTGGTCCTGGAGCTCAGGAGGGGGCTGGTAAGGGGGGCAACAAAGAGAGCACTCTGTGTGGGGACATCTCTGAAGACTGATGTGGCCTGTTGCTACTTGTATGTCAAGTATTGCTTTAAGTAGTTGTAATTTCTGTCTTCAGCAGTGTCTCTGGGTGCACCTGTTCTTTCTGGCCCCAGGACACACCCTGCCAGTATCCCTTCACATTCTTCCTCTTATAGAACAGCAACAAAAGCACAGAGTTTCCTGCAACACACACAATACCCTTCCTGATTCTGAGGGTGTCCCAGACTCCCCCTAGGGCCAGTTTTCCCTCTATAGCCTAATCCTAGCATTTGGATAAACATTGGTTGAGGGGTAATGTTTGTGATCACCCTGAAATATCTTAGAAATTTTGGTCATTTAATGTTTCTCTGGGGTTAAATAAACCCTATTACCCTAAACTAGTATCATGTCCACTTCATGGATGGGGACACTGAGGCACAGAGAGGTCCTGTTGCCTGCTCAAGGCCTTGCAGCTGGGCCCTGGATATTGGCCAGCGGCGCCCCCTGGCGGCCAAAGACGCAGCAAATTTTGGGAGTCTTCCTGGCCAGCCGCACCTTCCGCATTTCCCTTCTTGGAGCTCAGCCTGGGGCTGGCGGGGCTTTGCTGGGAGGGAGAAGAGGAGGTAGCTCTGTGTTCAAGTACCAGGTTTAGTTCCTGTATCTGGAGGGCTCAGTATTCCACACCCCAATTTGCCTCCCTCCCAGCGTGCCTGAAAATTTATGCATGACACAGGTCCTCACAGCAGCCTCTGGCTTATGAAACAGCTGGCTTCATTACTAAATGATTCCAGTAATTCATCATCATCATAATTACTATGGAATTCCACAGGGAGAATTAAACGTCATCTGGGTCATGAACTTGATGCATTTCCTTTCAGATCTTTAAAAGACATAGATTTAGGGGATAATTATTTATAATTTTTCTCCTTCCCATTTACTTATAAGTAATATGTATTCATAGTAAATAATTTGGAAATAATGGAAACATAAAGAAGAAAATAAAATTCAATTATAACCTCATCCATAAACCATCTGCTTCCAGCATTTTACCTTATTTCCCCGTGGATTTTTCTTCACCCACTTGTAAGAACATTCATATATTCCCCTTCAGTTTGAGCTACAGGCATCTCTCCCACTCCCCCTACTGATTACACTCTACCCATACTCTAAGCATGGTCCCACCTCAGGACCTTTGCACATGGTCTGCACAGCACCTGGAATGCTTCTTTTCCTCCTCATCCTCACTCTTTGGGTCTCAACTCAGCAACCCCTTCTCTGGGAGGTCCTCCCTGATTCCTCACCCTAGGCTGGTGCTGGTGGAAGCTCTGGGGGATTCTTTGATCCACGTCCACCATGCACTCCAGATCAAGATTTCAGGATGTCTGGGCCAGGCCCACTGCACCATCCTCAGTGTCCCCAAAGATGGACTTTGCCAACTTGAACAAGTGAGTCCCTTAACTTCCTGAAGCCTTCGTCATTTCACAGATGAAGTGGGCTCTTTGTGAGGGTCCCATAATTGCAAGAACAGGTAACGTTTGAGGAAAGTGTGTCCTGAGCCATGCTCTGAGTAGGGTGGGACTTGGGAGGGTTTGGGGCTCTTCTCCCATCCAGCTCTGTCTCCCCTGCCCATGCAGGGGACCCTTCTGGAGTATGCAGCCTCCCCATTCAATCATCCCTAATTTCAGAGCTGAATGCTGACTATTAGCAATAAAGACCTAGTGTCATTTCTATGTTAAAATACAAATTTCTCTGGGACAAGCTGGTGCACATTGTTGTGGGGTTCTCCCCTGGGGAAAAGAACCTGGTGTTTCCGAGTGCCACCCAGGTATGAAGCCTGATGCAGGGAGATCAGCGAACCAAGAGGCATGCAAGTCTTCACTTCCACTGCGTGAACCAGCCACACCTGGAGCCCCCCCCAGAGCTGGGATTTGATTGTAGATTTTTTTTTCTGAATTTTCCCAATTCTCTGAAGTGGGTCTGTGATACTTTTATAGGTGAACTAGGGGAAAGGGGCAAAATGTTACCTTTAGGTAAAACAGATTTACCAAATACAAGCAGAGTGGAAGGGACATTCTGCACTTCTAGGGCGCTGGGGGGGCTTGTGTGGATTGAGGGGGTGGCCTCTGGCACAAAGTTATTCTGGTCTCTTCGAGCCTCCGCAGCTGGAGATCTCTTTATAAATAGGATGAGCACCATTCCTCCGCCTCCTGGGGAGCAATCTGAGAGGAGGGCGTCGGGATTTTCCTGGGGCCACACGCCTCCTGCTGTGTCTGGGGACCGGAGAGAGTTGGGGGCAAGGAACTGGAATGGGGGCCACGGTCTCTTTCTCCAGTAACCTGCAATTCTGACTTACCCTCCTCAAGATTTTGGGGAAAAAACGATGGAGCATCTGAGCCCTCAAAGTCTCCACTCTGAGTCTTGTTTCCCCAGGATAGAAGGAGGGGGTTTCTCCGGCCCTGTCTTTAATTCAGGAACCAGGGAAGGGTGAAGTCTCTTCCAGCCCCGTGTCTTTAGCCTCGCTCTTACTCTCCTTGTTCTCCGATCTTTTATCGCAGGCTTTGCAGGTGTCGGGGACAGGCAGTTTCTCTGCCCTATTTCCGCCTTTTCTTCGAATTTTTCTCTGGAAAATGGGGCGCAGGCAGGGGAGGGGTTGTCGGAGCGTCTATCACACTCTTTCCTTCTTTTCTGGGAATTGGTGGTGGTGGTGGCGGAGGTGACTCTCTTGGTGCTTATTTCTTCTTTCATCTTAGTGTGGTGCATCTACCAGCCCAGCCCACTTTGGGGATCTTACATCTCAGAAAATGGACGGGGTCTCTCTCCTATTTCCACCTTTTCTCCTTTTGTACTTATTTTTAAGCCCATAAATAGGGGGGAATGGACCAACTCTCGACCTCTGTCCCGCTTTCCTGAAATTGGGGATTCGGAGCGTTTGTCGATTAGTCACACCATTCTGGCCTGGGTAGGGGCCGCCGGAGAGTCACACCTAGGGTGAGCGGTGCGGGGGAAGGAGAACGCCCCCTGACCAGCCCGGCTCAGCCAAGGCCTCATCTAGTCCCTTATGCCTGGGGAGCCACCACTGGACAAAAAAGGGAAAATAATAATCTCTGATTAGCTACCCAGCCCATCGCTCGACTGCTTAAGCCAGTGAGAGGTTGCCGCGCAGCCCCGCCTCCATGACACTTACGAGAGGCGGGGCCACAGGTGATCCCTCCCTTCCTAAACGTTTCCGCCCGCTACTGGGTGTGCACAGGGGGCCACGCCCCATTTGTGCGTCAATCTGCGCGAGAGCCCCGCCCCTCCTAGCTCTGCAGGCATTAATGGGCCACAGCTTCTTGCGCGGCTCCGCCCCAGAATGGCGTCACTGCCGTATCTGCATGTGAGGCCCCACCCCGCTCTTTGCAGGACGTCACCGCAGACTGCAGGGGCTCGAGCCGCTGCCGCGCAGCCCCACATCAACGCATTGGGGGCTCCTCACCACCGCTGCCAAAAAAGTCGCCGTCTCTAAGGTCGCTACCGCATCTGTGCAGGGCAAGGTGAGCTCCTGGGCGGCCCGCTGCACTCTCGCTCAAAGCACCTAAGTAACCTTCATTTGGATGATGGGCTGGCGGGGACGGTCGACGAGGTTGGCTGGGATTAAATGAGGGAGGATGCGGCGGTCTCGGACCTAGGTAGGAGACTCCCCTCAATTGCCAGACCCTCATTCCCCACCCCCTCCTCTGCGGCGGAGGAGGAGGAGGCGAGGCGAGTACCTTGCGGGAAGCTGTGCGTGTGCGTGCGCGTGCATAGGGTGTGAACACGCGTGTGCGCGCCCGCCTGTGTTGGCAGGTCTGTGTGTACCCTTGCGTGTGTACCTGGCTATGACCATGTGATCCAGCGAGGGTCCTGACCCAAGTGTGTCTTGCTGCACGCTTCTTTAGAGATACTCATGGATTGTGCGTGTGCGTGCACGGCCGTGTTCATACATACACAGAGATGCGTACCGTGTGGGTTACGTACACACACCTGCATGGGTGGAGGGCGCCGTGTGGATTTACACCTTTGTATATGCATGTCGGTGTGCAGACAGGTGTCTGCATGCGTCTCTGTTCAGTGTCCAAATGAGTTCAACTCTCATGTGCACGCGCGTTCACGAGTGAGTGGGTGCCCTGCTGTGTGCACGTGACTGTGTGCATGCTCCACCCCTATTACATTATGCAGCTGTCTCAGCTTGAATTCCCCCAGCCTGGGAGTGAGGGGGGAAGAGGGGCTTCAGACGTGTGTCCCAGCAGACTGTCCACGTGTGCCAGCGTTGGGTTCTGAGAAACATAAATGATTGATGGGGGGCGGGGCCAACCACAGTCACCCCCTCCCAGTGCAGCCATAGGGTTTAGGGTTACAGCCTGACCTGGGGCACAGACCTGCTGGAGGGGCTACAGAGGTGTCCCCATACCGGGTTCTTTGAGCTCCTCCTTGAAATGCCCCCCTCCCCCTCCTTTCAAGGTCACAGCGGGCCCTCTGCTCGGGGCTCCACAGTTAGTACTAGGGATTCTGGTGACGCGCTAGTTCCTCTCTGTGGTTCTGGTGTTTTCTCCATCCTGTGCCTGGTCTTGGGGATGGCAGGGGGACCCCTCACACTAGCCTGCGCCCCGCATCCCCAGATGGCGTCAGCCACAGACTCGCGCTATGGACAGAAGGAGTCCTCGGACCAGAACTTCGACTACATGTTCAAGATCCTCATCATTGGTAACAGCAGCGTGGGCAAGACGTCTTTCCTCTTCCGCTATGCAGACGATTCCTTCACGCCTGCCTTTGTCAGCACTGTGGGCATAGACTTCAAGGTCAAGACCATCTACCGCAATGACAAGAGGATCAAGCTGCAGATCTGGGTGGGTCTAGTTGGGGGACTCCCAGCTTCATTATTCTCCCTTAGGGGAAAAGGAGCCCCAGCTTTTCCTATCTCTTTCATTCATTCACACAATTGGGCATTACCATGTGCCTACTGAGCACCAAAGGTACAGAAGAGAAAGCCCCTGCTCCTCCATCAGAGCCTAATTGGTGCCCTCCAGGGCTGGGAGAGGAGCCAATGCTGGGTTCTTTCCTGTACTTGGTATCTGCAGGAGCATCACTGGGCTTAGTGCCTCAATTTCCTTACCTGCAAGTTCTTCCATGTGAGTCTGTTTGAGGTTTCACTGGATGTTGGCCCCCAACCTCATTGTCTAGGACCGGCACAGTCACCTCCCCCAGGGTCACCTGGCTGCCTCCCACAACCCCACAGAGGCCAGAAGGAGCCTGTTAGTTCCCAGGGCTCCCACCTCATGCAGGGCAAACTCCACACCCCTCCCCTGGCCTAGGAGACCCTGCCTGGGTCAGTCCCACATCAGCATCTTTGGCCTGGCTATGCCCTCTGCCTGGATTGTCCTTGCCCTGATCGTCCCATGGCCCTCTCTCTAACTCCTCTCCCAAATTTCTGCACCCTGCCCCAGCCCACACTGCCCATCCATGTCAGGCTTTGTTGCCCCCTCAGTCCTTATGGCTCTCTGACATGGATACATTTTCTTCCTTTTCATGGGTTTATTGTCCATTTCCTGCATTGAACTGTCAGTCCACAGGAGCAGTGATTTTTGTCAATTTGGTTTACAGCCATGTCCCTAGGGCCCAGTGTGGTGTATGGCACAGGGCAGTGCCTTGTACACGTGTATTGCTGAATAAGGGAGCCATTCTGAAGATACCAGACTCTGTAGGATGTTCGAGTACCACATTCTTGGTGCAGGCAGCTGGCTGGCTGTCCCTGGCCCCCTGTGCCTCTGGGCAAGCCCTTACTCTTCTCTGGGTCTTGAATGAGCTGGACTAGATCTCAGGGCTCATTTCCATCAAGGATCTTACACCTGGGTCCTGCCGGACCCTGTCTCTTCTTCTCTAGGACACAGCAGGACAAGAGCGGTACCGAACCATCACTACAGCTTACTACCGGGGTGCCATGGGCTTCATCCTCATGTATGACATCACCAACGAGGAGTCCTTCAATGCTGTGCAGGACTGGTGAGCACACCTTCAGGCCCTCTCGGACTGTTTTCTGAGCTGGGTTTGGTGCAAAGCCCAGGGCATAGGCTGATGAGGGAGCCCCAGCCCCCTGGCAGAAATGTAAAGAGCAGTATTAGGGCCCCAGACCTGCTGTCAGTCTATAATCATTAAAACACAGCATCATTGGCTCAAAATAGTGGAAAAAAAGGATTTCAGGTGAAAAAATGAAACTAAACATACAGAAAAAAAAAATCAGGGCCAGAGAAATGACAGAACATAAGAGGACAGTTTGTTCAGGTTATAGAGGACATAAACATTTATATTTCTGCCCAGAAGTAATGATACATTTTAAGAAAATTTCTGGTTTTGCTGAGGAAGGAGTTCTGTCTGGGGGCAGGGATTGGGGAGGCGGGTGGAGAGAGGCTGCTTGAAAGAGAGATTTTGAAGATCGAGGAAGTACCAAAGCAGACACCCAGAGACGGCAGCAATTTTTCTGGCAGGACAGAGAAGAGAAACTAAACCTGCCAGGTTTACGGAATAATAGGGAGCTGGGGGCCTGGAAGGGGATGAGGGAGTGGAGCTCAGATGCTCCCAGCCCTAAACTGCCCCTGTTGCCCTGTCCTCCAGGTCAACCCAGATCAAGACCTACTCATGGGATAATGCCCAGGTGCTGCTGGTGGGGAACAAGTGTGACATGGAGGATGAACGGGTGGTGTCGTCAGAACGTGGGCGGCAGCTGGCCGACCACCTTGGTGAGTGCTCAGAGTGGCTGGACACCTTCAGGCTAGAAGAGGGACACTGAGGCCCTGAGAGGGGAGGGGACACACCCAAGGTCTTTGAGCAAAGCTGGGATGGGGCCTGCATTTGATTCCAGACAATTTATGCTTTCTGCAAACTGGCCTTGACCCAGGACCCAAGTGAGGTAGATCTTGATAGGTTTGTAGTTCACTGTGCAGGAGGTTACTGATTCATGCTGACACCCTCACTGCCCAGGCTCATACTGGGTGTTGCTGGGCCCTCAGGAGGCTTCCAGCTTTGAGAGAGAGGAACCCGGGCTGGGGAAGTCCCACAGGAAATGCCCACAAGGCTTTGTGGAGGGGGGACATCGCATCTGGTGCTTGAAGATAGGGTGGTCCTTCAGGCAGAGGGAACAGCTTGGGCAAAGGCCAGAGGTGGGAAAGATCCTGTGCATTTTGTCAGGTGCTTTTACACAGCTGCAACATGAGGGTCATTGGGACGAAATGTGGCAAATCGTGCAGGGCCTGACCACGTGCTGAAGAGCTGGGACTCTCCTGAGGGCAATGGGAAGCCCCCGAGAGCGTGAGCAGGGGTGGGCATGGCTGGATTTGAGTGTCCGAGGCTGCTGGGGACAGTGTATGGGACTGGGCTGGGTGGTGGGAGCAGGGGAGTGAGTCTTGCCAGGGCCTTGGGGACTGTGAGAAGGGGACAGTTTTAGGGCAAAGCAAGGAGCACAGGAAATATAGGGCTGACCCAGCTCAACATTACTTCCCATGGGACTTGCCAGTGCCTTTATGGTTCGGTGGGCACTGGGAACCTCCAGGTATTTCTGGCCTTAGAGAAATGTCTCTGGGAGGGGTGTGCCCAGGGTCTTCACTCCTCCCTCCCCTGACCACAGGGTTTGAGTTCTTTGAGGCAAGTGCCAAGGACAACATTAACGTCAAGCAGACCTTTGAGCGCCTGGTAGATGTCATCTGCGAGAAGATGTCCGAGTCACTGGACACAGCTGACCCTGCTGTCACAGGCGCCAAGCAGGGCCCACAGCTCACGGACCAGCAGGCGCCCCCACACCAGGACTGCGCCTGCTGAGAGCTGGCCCGCCCATCCCTGTCCTCCCCCCCATCAGACCCCACCTGGCCATGGGCGCAAGACCCCTGCCCCTACTTCCCAACTTAGCCCTTCACCCTTATTTATTATTGTAGCTATTTATTTATTTATTGGAGATGTCCTCTGGGGGCTTGGCTCCACAGCCCCCTGTGCCCTGCCCTGTACACACAGCCCTGTCTGCTCTGCCGTGGCTTGTCGTGGCCCTTGAACTCACCCCTCACCCTCTTCTCCAGACCCTACCTTTTTAAAATTCACCCCATCAATAGTTCTCAGTTTTGAAGAGGGGGCCAGATGCACCTGAGGGCAGGGTGACCGGGTGATGGGAGGTAGCCAGGCCTGCTAGCCCCTGGTGGGCCGAGGACACGGTGGGGTCTCAGCAGGGACCACAGAGTGGGCCAGAGCCCCACAATGGCCCGCCCGGCTCCTGGCCCCCAAGTTCTACCTTTTTTTGGAGAGGGGGCTGCTGTGGTTACTCACCACCCTGAAAACACACCCCTCCCACACACACAGAGACTTGTCTGACGTCATGAGTGTCAAATGTGCCCCTAGGAGATGTCATGACAACACTACACACCCAATAAAGCAAATGGATGATGTTGTGTCTATGAGTGCCGCCTGCCAATGCTGGCTGTCGTCAGCCATGAGACTTTCAGTTATGGAGAGAATTTAATTAAGTTTACACAATCCATAACCAGAACAACCCTGGTGCTGCCTGGTCTTGCCTAAAACTCCAGATCCCAGGGGCCAGCTCCAGGCTAGGCCCCAGTCACAGCAGACAGGTGATGTTCCCACCTCTCTTCCAGGGCTCAGAGCCCAGCCTGCAGCAGTGTTGAGGGGCTGGGGCCCAGTGCTGAGCATGAGACATTCTGGTTACAGAGGCTCCCGGTCAGGAGGGATGATTGTACATCTTCATGGTTGTGTTCCAGATGAGAAAATGAGGCCTGGTAGTGGGCTTGGAAGGAGCAGCCCAACCAGGTGCCTAGGAGTGAGGGTGGGACTGGAACTTGGCCCAGGCCCCTGGCCTGCTGCGGACCCATTCCCCTTACTCCCCAGGTGGGCTAGAAGTCAGTGTGCCCAGTGCCACTCATGCTGAGCGTGTCAAGCGGCTGGGGATCTGTCCACACAACAGGGTCTGGTCATACACATTCGTGCCTTCAGGCTTCTCACCAAGCTCTCCACCTGTCTGGGGTCAGCCTCGCCGAAAAGATGCTGCAGAGACCTGACTGAGGTCCTGTTAGGCAGTTGAGAGGGGCTCAGTCTTCACCCTGTTGATGAGCAGCTCCTGCCCAGCCCCCCACCACCTGCCCACTGCGAGGTGTGGCGTGTCCAGGCCACAGGAGACTCTCACCCTGGAGGGGGGCTGTACTGCCATTTGGGGCTCACGTGTGTGGCCCCTAAGGAGTCTCCTGGGTGCCTGGTCTGTCCAGTGCGCTCACCCGGTACTTCAGGTAGGAGAGGTATGTGTCCCAGCCCAGTGTCAGGCCATTGATGTAGGTGACTCGGAACTGGGGTGGCACAAAGAGGAAGTTCACCAGCTGTGCAGCTGGCCACACGCACCAATCAGCCTGTGGGGAGGGAAAGAGTGCAGTAAGGGTGGGTGGCCAGGAAGCTGTGAGGGGTGGGGTGGGACAGAAGTAAGGGGAAGGAGAATGAATGGCGGGGGGTGCCTGGGATGACATGCTCACCTTGTAGAATTCCCAGAACTTGTCCCGCAGCTCCTGGCAACTCTCTTCCAGGGACTGGCCCTCCAGGCTGCCAAGACCTGGCAAGGAAATGAGAGTGTCAGAGGCTGAGGAGTCCCACTGAGGAGCCAGTGGGGCAGGACCCCTCAGGGACACTGTTCCAGGCAACGGGACCTGATATTTAACAGCCTTGCAGTAGAAGGGCTGGACAGCAGGGTGTCGGGGGTGGGGAAACAACACAATCGAGTGGATCCCAGGGAGTGAGATCCAAAGGAAGATCCTAAGGAGATTCCTTAGGTGCATCCAAAAGAAGAAGACACCCTTCCTGATGCTGAAGCTGTTTTTTTAGTCATGTTTTATTTTTATTCTGTTACAGTTGTCCCAATTTTCCCCTCTTTGTCCTCCTCTGCCCATCCCACCCTGAAGCTATTTTATTACCTGTCTTTCAACAGATGAGGAAACTATGCCTGCAGGGTGGGGAACAGGTGAGGACTTTCTTCCCAGAGGCAAGGGTTGGGGTGACTGTGCCCCACTGAATCCCGGTCTCTGCTCCTCTTCTTTTTGCCGTTCCTCTTCCTTCTGGCTCCTTCAAATCTCAGCTGAGTTCCTCTCCTTTGGCAACCCCTCCCAAACTCCACCCCACCCTGCCCCATTAGACACTGTCCTTATCCCTCCTACACTTAGCACCACTGTTTGTGATTCTACCATTCACAGCTGTTCCCCACTAGGTCTGTCCTGTCACCACCGTGACCCAGCCTCCAGTCCAGGACCACCCGCACAGAAGGTGCATCAGAATGGGCCTTGGCATCCTCAACACAAGGCTGGCTCTGCTCCTCCCGACCTATGAGGGTTTGCAAAGCTCAAACTCATGAGGCTCCTTACCCAAGAAGTACCAGACACCCAGCAGGGGAGAGGCCACCAGTTGGTCGATGAGGACCTTCCTGAGGATGTTTGGAAGCCCACGGAGGCCAGACGCAGGGAACAGGCGGTCCAGCCAGAGATACCAGTAGTGTAGGAAGGGGCCCATGCTGCAGCCCACAGCAAACATGCTCGCTGAGGGCAATCCAAGAGTCAGGGTGGCCATATCAGTCCCTTAAAGCCTCCCATCCTCTTCCTCCCTGGGTAAGCCCAATGCTCTCCCAGGGCCCACCCAGATATTCTTTCATTACTAGCTCCACTGCTAGGCACCATTTCAGGGGCTACATTTACATCTCACCTCATCCCTTTACCACCCCCTAGGAGGGGATTCCACCAAAGCCCCTATTTCCAGAGGAGGAAACCAAAACACAGAGGGTAAGGAACTTTGGGGCCAGGGCGCAATCCCAGGCTGCAATTCCAGGCTGTCGGGTCCAGATGCCACGCGCCCTTGATTACCCCGGGTCCAGCTTCCCAGGCTTAGTGCCAAAGGGTACGAGGGGTTGGGCGGGGACGAGACTCCAAAGGTGGAAATGGACAGAAATCCCAGTTATGGAAAGGAGACACGGGTAGGGGCTGTCAGGTTATAGGGTGCACGTAGAGATCAAGAGGGACTCAGGCCACAGATTAGGGGTTACAGCCTGCGGGTCTGGTCCCAAGGTTTCCAAATCTGAGGGAGGAGTCAAAGGTTCCCCAGGGTCAAGAGTCGGCAGTGTCGGCCTCCTCACCTGAGCGCCTTGGGTCGAATTTCTGGCCAGGCCGGGCGCGGATCTCCTAGGACTGACGTGCGCCGTCCCCAGCCGCCATGAGAACGCCGCAACCCAGCGTGTTGGTAATGAGCAGTGCGCGGCCTTGGAACATAGGCTGCCCCGCTGCCCATAGGCCGCGCAGCCAGCGCCAGCCACCTGATGCCATCGCGCGTGGGGACCCAGGAACTGATGCTCTCGACCACCTGCCCATGCCAACCAATCAGGAGTCCGGGCAGCGCCCGGACGCCCCAGCGCGGACCAAGCGCTGACAGCTCATTTCTCCACTTTCCCTGCCCCGAGAGATATTAGCCAATAAAAGACTGGCATTCCATTCCTCAGCCAATCGATGAACGACGTCACTCATAGACTATGGACCAATCAAAAGCAATCCTCGACCCCACAACATGTGCCAATTGCTCACTTGCGTTTCCTAGTCTCTTCCGGCACCGACCTCAGGGTAGCAGTCGCCACCCTCTTGCTTATTAATTCTGTACCGCATTGGCCAATCTCAGACTACAGTTACTCCTGTCGTCCCGCCTCCCGCATTAAGACGGCCAATCTTAGGCAGTTACCATGAGCTCTGGTCTAGTAGCGCTCGAGATACCCAGATTCCTGCGGCATTCCTGAGAGAAAATTCAGATCTGTGGCTGTGTCAGCTAGAGGTGTGGAAGTATTGTATAATCCCGCAAAGACTCAAGGAATTGGGGGCGAAGCCCAGTAGGTGTCAGGTCCAGAAATTGACTTTGGTCTTGACTTTAGCTGAGTATCTGACCTTAGATGCAGAATAATAAATAAAAGTGTTAGGCGCGGTTCCGAGCACATAACGTGCATTAACTTACTTCGCAGCAACCCTGCTGCTGCACAAATAATTATATACCCATGTTATTTCCTTTGTTCCTGTAAGGGAAAATGTGAGTTCCAAGGGAAACCTATGCATTACCTACCGGAATGGCATGTCACAAACGCAAACTACAGCCCGTGGGCCAAACCCTGTCAGTGCCTCTTTTATGAGGCCCACAAGCTAAGAATATTTCTTAAATTTTTGCATTGTTCAGGCAAAATCAAAATATTCTGGATAATGTGAAAATTGTGTGAAATTCAAACATGTGTCATTAACATACAGCTTTATTGGGACACAGGCAAGTCCATTTGTTTCTGTGTTGTTTCCTGTCCCTACAAGGAGTTGCAACAAAGACTACGGCCTGTAAAATCTAAACTATTTATTACATGGGACTTTACAAAAAAAAATTGCCCCGTATTAACAGGACACTCTTCAGGATATTCCGATTCTGCGGGAACTTTTTATAAACTTGATATTTATACCTGATAACAGCAAAAAATAATTTTTGCCTATGGACATGCAAATGCATTCTGTCAGGTGGAGAGACAGTCTCCCCCAATTATTTTTGCCTTACTTTGCATATTCATTTAAATATTCCTGATTCGTCTGTTCTTTGGATCTCCTTTAATATGGTGTTAACAACTGCACAGTTCTCATTAATAATGAATTCATAATTTTTAACATATGCTCGTTCTGACATCTGTATGAGAGTCATGATTTTACCTTTTTGGGGGGAAATTACTTTCAGCACTTCCTATTGTTCTCAAGTACCTCAGACTGGTATTCCAGGCTTTAGATTTTATTGCATCTTAGTGGAAATCCTCCAACATGGTTAAAAAAAAACTTTGTCAAGCCCTGGCTGGTGTGGCTCAGTAGATTGACTGCCGGCCTGAGAACCAGGGGTTGCCAGTTCAGTTCTCAGTCAGAGCAGATGCCTAGGTTGTGGGCAACCTCCCCAGTAGGAGCTCGCAAGAGGCGACCACAATCCACGTTTCTCTCCCTCTCTTTTTCCCTCCCTGCCTCTCTCTAGAAATATATACATAAAATCTTTAAAAAAAAACTTTGGCAACAACCACATTCAAGAAAACAAGTTTCACTTTAAAAAAATATTTATTTATCTTTAGAGGGGAAGGAGAGAGGGAGAGAAACATCAATGTATGGTTGCCTCTAGTGCTTCCCCTGCTGGGAAATAGCCTTCTGGGAACTGGCCTGCAACCCAGGCATGTGCCCTGACTGGGAATCCAACCGCGATCCTCTGGTTGGCAGGCCTGCGCTCAATCCATTGAGCTACACCAGCCAGGGCAAACAAATTTCACTTTTGAAAGCTGTGTTACAAAATCCTCATAGGAAAACTTATTCACACCTGATTGGCAGTCTGTCTTACAGGACGATCCTGGCCCACCGAGGTCCTTGTAACATTTCAAGGATGTCAAGAGGTGCAGATATAGCAGGTGAAGCCCGGTAGAATTTCTTACCTTTAGTTAGCCAACCATAGAGGCTTTTCAAAGTCCAACCTGAGATTTTTTAATGGAAACTTCCAGCAAAGCAAACTGAATGCTTACTGCACCTATGTAAATTATCCAAGCAAATCTAATTAGACCTGCAAAGGAAGTTCTTTCTTTGAGATTCTTTTAAACAAAAGGGACAATACAAATCTTATTTGACCATAAAAAAAACAAAACAAAACAAAGAAGGGAATCCTATTATTTGTGACAACATGACATTATGCTTAATGAAATAAGTCAGACAGAGAAGGATGAGTGTTGTACGATCTTACTTATTGTGGAATCTGAAAAAGTAACTCATACAAACAGAAAAATAGCAGTTGTCACAGGTGGGGGTGGTGGGGGAAATGAAGGGCTATTATCACAGCATCTGGAAAGGTTTATTAAGCTCATTTCAACGTAGCACCATTCTTGGTGGGGCAAGATTCTTGATCTTGGGGCAAAATTTTGAGTTGGACTTCATGGAATGTGTAAGTTATCTAGATCATGAGTCACAGCTGGTGAGTCAGGGATCAGGAAAATGGGCGCTGGTGGGAGCTCATTCTTCCTCCATCAGTTCCCTCCAAGGACAATGGCCATCACTTGAGGCAGACGTCCCTGTGGGAGCTGGCCATGAGTGAGCAGGCATCTGGCTTCTCACCCTGGAGGAGGCAGTCATGAGTTGGGGGCCTGAAAGGAGACCCTAGCCCTACTCACTGAGTCCCTCTGTTGCCTGTGTTACTTACCTGGTACAACTGGCACACAAGGGGTAGGAGCTGGCTCTTGTCACCCAAAGGTTTCTGCACAAAGCAAGACAGGAGGTCACAAGTGCCACCTGCCCTTACCGACCATGCCAAACCCAGAAGGGGCTAAAAATGGCCCTGAGTCTGGCCCCGCCACCTGCCTCCCAGACTGGTGAGCACATCCATTACCTTGGTCCCTGCCTGGGGGCTGATCAGAGGGCTACAAGCGTTTCTTACCCCATTGACGACGACCCAAGGCACATACTGGTGGGGCGGATCCAAAGCATCTGTAAGCTGGGCATTCATGTGTAAGAGCTGTGTGCCCCGGTCTCCCATTGCACACTCCATGATGGTGTCTGCGGACACATCTGGGGCATACACTTGCAGGCACTGAGGACAGAGGAGGGCCAGTGAGCCTCAGCTCTCTCCCTGTTATCTCCCCATTGGCCCCCAAATCAAGTTTCTGCTTCCTGAGTTGCAACAGGGGCTAGTGGGTCCACAGCAATGCAACAATGGTTGCAAACAGCAAGTGCTTCATACATGCCTGGGTGGGGGCCCCTATGCCCCCGAGTCCCCTATGACCAGACCTGCAGCCCCTGACTGCTACGTTTTCCTCAGAGCTTCCATCTGTGCTATTCCCTCCACCAGGAGCACTCATCCTCCAGCTTCCTCAGCATCTCCTAAGGGGTCCCTCCTGCTCTATGCTCTGTCAGCCCCGCTGTGGTTCTGCAGGGCCGGGGTGTCTTAGGGTGAGGCTTCCTGGATGGCCCAAATGTTTAATGAGCGAATAAATGATCAGGGCAGGTGAGTCATTCCATTAGGAGTTCTTTTTCATAATCCTTCGGGGAGGTGGGCAGGCTCGTCCCGTCATCCCCATACCCCAGAGGATGGTCATCATCTGTGTCCCAGCACATTCTTGTTCGTCGGAACCCAGCTCAGGGGCTCCTCCTAGAGAAGGCACTCTCAGATCTCCCCATACCCCCAGAAGATCTTCCTTCCCTTGATCCAGAGATTGAGGCTTAGAGAGGGAACAGCATTTCCCTGGGGTTATACAGAGAGTAGTGGTTGGGGCCAGGACTCGAACTGGGGTCTGAGTGCAGGGAAGGCCACGGTCCCCCAACATAGGCCAAATAAGGGGTGTTACTCACCGGCTTTAGATTTGTCTCCATGTCATTTATTATCTCTAAGCAGACAATGGTTAGGAAGGCCCCGTTGCTCTCCAGCTTGTCCAACAGGCAGGCCTGGGGGTGGAGAGTGGGCAGGCAAAGTCTGATCGGGGTGCAGAGCATCCCAAGATCCCTCTGGTAATAATCATGGGTGTCTGATAACGAAGCAATGGACGGAGTTATGGTAAAATGGAGGCACACAGGCAGGGAGAGAACTGGTTCCAAGCCTCTCTGAGTCTGGATTTCACCTTTGCTACCACCTGCAGCCTCCTGGGCTTCTGTGCCCCCCATGAGGGACTCAGGGGCACTGCTCACCTCCACCTTGTTGAGTTTGCACTCCTCCTCCCCATGCTGGCACGTGAACTCCCACTTGCCACTGACATTCTGCTCCTGCAAGGCAGTGGGGTGAATGCTGACGGGCTGGCCAGGCGCCTCCCAACCCTGGTCACATGCCTCAGTTTCCCCAGCTCCCACGTACCCTGGCATTTCCATAGGGCACCAGAGTGACGTTGAGGATCTCCATAACCATCAGCCACGTTGGGAACAGCTCTCGGACCAGGAAGTACTGGCAGCCAGGGCACAGTGCCTCATAGTAGAGGCTCACGTTGACGCGTGGTGAGTCAGACTTCCCAAGGGGCACCAGTGGGCACAGGGCACCAGCCTGTACGGGAGGAAGAGAGGTGAAGCAAGCATGGCCTTGCTTGGTTCTCTTGCAGAAAGCTAGCTGCAAACAGTGAGTGCCCCATCCTGAATACACTCCTGACTCTAAGGCTTTACCGAATCCCTAAATCTGTTAGGCTGCAAAATGGACACAACAGACTTGCATAGAGTAAGCACTTGCATAGCTCTTACTTTCTTCCAAGTGAGGTGAAACCTCTGGCCCAGGATGCAGTAAGGACTCAAGCAAGCACACTTCAGATCCCTGACCTCAGTCCTGCCTTCCTGGAGGTGCATACCACAGGAGACTAATGGGTGATCAGATGTTGCCACTTCATGCCCAGAGCCTTGGCCATACACCTGCTCTGACTCCTCTTCCTCCCAAGGGGCCCACGTGAACCCCTCCCAAGTCCCCTGCGGAGGTGGCACCTAGTAAGCACCGACTTCCTGCTCTAGCTAAGGGGGCAGACGCCCAGGTTTGTGAGCAAGTCGCTCAGCCTCCGGGGCATGTTTGCTGAGCCCCAGAGGCACTGGAGCTCTGCCCTGGCCGAGGTGCATCCAGTAGGCAGCACCTAGTGGGCGCGGGTGCCATAGGCAGGCTTCTCCTGGCTTCCAAGGAAAGACCCCTGTTCCCATCCCAGATGTACACAGCAGGTGCTCAGGCGTCCTCGAGCGGGGCGGGCGGGGACGGGGCGTCCTCAGCCTGAGATGGGAAAGCGAAAGGACTCGGAGAGTATGGTCACACCGCCTGGGATTACTGTAAATAGGGGGGGTTTCCGCACTGGCGGGGCGTGTTCCCTCCAGACCCCAGGCTGCCCCAGCCGTGTCTGGGGATAGGAAACCTGCCGCCAGCCCGGCCTGGGCGCCGGTCCCCGCCCACCCACCTTCAGCGTTGCCGTTCCTACCTTGCAGGGGGCTGCCCCTTTGGGGAGTGTGCCCAGCGGGGACGCGTGCGCTGCCGTGGGGACTTGGAGCAGCAGCAGCAGCATTGGCAGGAACGGCAGGAGTAGCGACCAGGCCATCACAGCGTGGGTATAGGGCCGGTGGTGGGAGAAGTGCCCCGCGGAAGGGACGGCCTTTAACTGCTCTGTGGCCCTGCCCCTAAGCCGGCCCGCCTCCCGGGGCCCCCGCCTCTCGGGGCTGGCCTGGAGTCGCTAGCTGTCTGCACTTCTGTCTCTGGGTGTCCCTTTCCAACCCCGCCCCCGCCCCCGCCCCTACCCCTGCCAGGTGCTGGGCCAGCAATCGAGGTCATCCGGCCTCTCTGCTGTTTCCTCATCCCCACTCTGTCCCTGCGACACGCCAGGACCAGACAAGTGGAGCTGGGGTTGGAGCTCCTGGGGCGGACGTGGAGCGGGGCCTCTGGGACAGAGAGGCAGAGACACAGGAGATGGAAGGGGCTTCTCACGCCACAGACCCTTCTGGGGCAGCCACGGTGGGACCACCGTGCGGGACCTGCCCCTAGCAGGGAGACCCGGTGCGCTGACGGAGCGGGGCAAGCTCTGGCTGCGCCATCCTTTTCCTTAGCCCAGCCCAGGACCCCGGTCACTCCCAATCAACCGGCCCTGCCCCTCTCCCCACTTCCCGTTGGGCTCCGCAGCCCCGTTGCTAAGTCCCGTGGAGTTGACTCAGACTGGGCCACAGCTGGGCGAGAAAGCAGAAGCCAGAGCAGTAGGGATGCTCACTCTTCTTGGCCCCCCTTACCCCTGGCTCGCGGGGCAGGTAGAGGAAAGCTGGCACTCCTTTTGCACCCCAGCCCTCTCGAGCTCCCTGGGGAGAGACAAGCAGGGCCTGGGCAGTAATTATGGGAAACCTGAACTATGCCCATGGCGTGGAGGTGGGGTTGTGGCCACGTAGGACCCAAAGCAGCAGAGTCAGCCAGACCCCGTTAGCCCCAGGACTGTACTGGGCCCCTCAAGCGATGAAGCCTCAGTTCTTCTCCATTATAAAATGGAGAAGAGGGAGGTGTGGGGGGAAAAGCCACCATGGAGGGCTCAGAGGCAGAGGGAGAGTCAGCCCAGACTGGGAGGCAGGCAGCTGGGCTGTGGCCCTGGTAGGGGTTGACCGAGGACAGCAGTGCAGGCAGGCAGACGGGGTAGCCAGAATGAAAGATCGGAGGCTGGGGGTACTGGGGGAATGACCAAGAGAGTCGCACTTTGCAGGGCCTCAGTGTCAGTTGTGACACAGGACGGGATTCCACAGGAGGAAGTGCTCACACTTGGCCTGGAATACAGCCACGTCTCTGCTTCCCCTGAAGCCCCCACGGCTGGATGACCGCCCCCTCCCACCCCACCCATATCAGCCCTGCGGACCCTAAGCAAAACCCATTTCCTTCCCGAAGCCTCTGCAAATCAAAGCACCACCGCTTTGGGAGCTAGTTGGGTGCTCTCCCTGTGCTGGGCAGGATGGAAGCAATAATAATAAATACTGCTGCAATTCTGGATGGACTCATACATAAAACCCCACCCACTTTGCCATAGGACCCTCACAAATAACCTGTTGGGGGCCAGGAAACAACTAATAACCCCACTAGGTAACAGGAAACAGGATCAGAGAGGGGAGGCAACTTTGCCAAGGAAACCTAGCTGGTGGTGGAGTGCACACACTGGCTAAAGGACTCCCTGG